ACACACACACACACACACACACACACAAACATGCACACACACGCAGGCTTAAAGTCACATGCATAATATAAATGAACAGCTTTATAAACAATAATAACCTTAAGCTAGATACCTACTCAATGTTATTCTGATGTTTGCGTTCATCGACAGGTGTCTATGGGTTCCCAAGATGCCCAGGAGAAAACCAAACCATGTGTGACTACGTCCGTAAGCTTTTGAATCTTGGAGCGTATATCTCGTAAGTTATATTTTTCATTTTTATTCTAAATGCATTTCAAACGTCAGTTTAATTTAAGAACTTTTTTTTTTTAATCCAGCAAAAAAAGAAAGTGAAGTACTTATCAACAGTGAAAGTTTCATATGAAAGAATAGTGGGCCTCTATACTTTCAGACATGGGAACTGTAGAAAGAATATATACACTTGAGATCTTTACAGTGAAACTTGTTACTAATATTAAATGTTAGCCTGACAAGTTCTTCCCAACATATATATATATGAGCAGCTCATCCTTGTGGATGAGGGCTTGAAATTCAAACTGATTTGTCTGTCTGTGCGTGTGCGCTGTGGCTGGAAAATTGCTGGTCGTTGATTGACATTGCAGTATGCTTCAATCATTTTGTCTTGTCATGATATAGTCTGCTTCGAACCTCTCTTAATATCGCGATGTGGTCTACTCCAACCATGTCGTAATACCGCTGTGTGTTGTGATTCAATAACCCCGTAATATTGTCATATGGTCGGCTTTGACCACCTGGTAATGTCATGATATCGCGATGTAGTCTGCTCAGATCACCTCCTGCTACCCTAACCTTTATCTGTTCCTGGTGGGATGTAACAGTGAATGAGCTGACTAGCTGTCAACAGCACTGAACTACATTATTATAAAATATATTCACCACATATTTCAGTTTTCAATATGTATTGATTATTGATGTCACAACTTCTATCTATGTGTAAGTTTATAATTATTTTCTTTGTTTTATTTTTTCTTCCTCAGTTGGATTCAGGACAAGTAAGTACACTTCCCATTCTAAGAAAATGTACTCTTAAATGAATATATCGAAGTGTCCTTATAAGGCAATTGAAGTTCACCTACTTCCTAAGAATTTTTTTGAGGCCACCTTTTTTCTTGAGCATATTCACTAAATGGATCATTGATATTATCACCATCGAAAGAAAGTAACTCTAGTAATAGTAATAACACCTCTAACCTTTTGCACTTATACGACCTAATTGTGTTGTTAGTGCTGTAAAACTTTTTGCAAGAAAAATCTTTGTTTGAGATTTATGAAGTAATTTTTATTCTCTTTCTCTTCTTATTTTTGTCTTCTTCTCTTTCTCTTATTCTCTTTCTCACATTCTCTTTCTCTTATACTCTTTCTCTTAATATCTTTCTCATATTCTCTTTCCCTTCTTCTTTTTCTCTTCTTCTCTTTCTCTTCTTCTTTTTCACGTATTCTCTTTCTCATCTTCTCTTTCTTTTATTCTCTTTCTCTCACCGCGTGTGTCTGCCACAGCCTGGTACAAGCCGAGTACTGGCACGACCCTCTCAACGAGGCTGAGTACAGGGCCAAGAGTGTCTTCCTGGCTGACATCAACCAGGAGAAGGTAAGACCCTATTTGCATTATAAGTCATATGGTTAAACCTTCTCTTTTCTTTAAAAAAAAAAAATGTATGTGTTTTCCCCCCCATCGATATGAGAAAAGAAAAAAAAAAGAAGCATGTGAAACATGTATTTACTAATGTAAATGACCAAACTTCTCCCTGTGAAATGAATAAAGATTGTCATTGTCAATTTAGATCATTTGTGAGACAGGCTTCCGACCCTGCCTGTCGGGGCCAACCCGGATTGAAAGGGGTACAACATCTCAGCAGAAAGATCGAGATACTTGATAAATATTCTCCCCACACCAGAATCGAACTAGGGTCTTCTGTGTGCAACAGCGAAGCTCATGACTGCTACACCATGTACCTGACTTTAATGGCTACCTGTATAAAACAGTCACCCGTACAAACATCCACTTCTCATTTCATCCCTTGCATTTTTTTTACATTATAATGCCCCCCCTCCCCCACGGGCAGTGCTATTGACTGAAGTGTCCTTAGCCATTCCCAAAGGGGGGCTATTAACATGTTCTTATGCACAGTAGAATTGTAAATGGGCTGATTTATCAATGTCATGCTCATACTGTGCCGCAACAATATGCTGCCTTTTTTTTCCTCATCCTTACTATCGTCATTTTTCCTCTACTTCTTTAGTATTTTTGTCACTCTCTTGTGAACTGCTATTTCTTGGGTGCTTTGATAGTAGAAGCAGACTTTGTGCTGTTGAGGCTAGAGTGGTGAGCAGAGTGAGCCTGATTCCCCGTTTGGACTTCTCTGTTGACATCCACCCCTTGACCCTCATATGAACTTATGCAGTTGCGAGCGCCGAAAAACCTTACTAAAACAAAACTTCATAATGACACGAGATGTGACGGCAAAATCTTAAAGTGATGATAACACATTTTTTGTTCTTAATTACTTATCATTTCAGGCTTTTAATGCGACCTACAAGGCGAATCTGATGAAACTGAAAAACTTGGTGTTGGTCAAATTCAGCGAAGACACCATGGTAGATCCTAAGGAGAGTGAGGTAAGCAAAAAAAACAACAGTCTAGCATGCACATAGTGAAATGAGCGGGGCAAGGAAATCTTTTTACTGTGTATGAATTTCTCTGTGTATGTGTTTTAAATGCAAAGAACTACGTGTTTAAGAAAAAATTTGGGACGGAAAATCTATTCGCTATGTGCATGTTCACTATGTGTGTGTTCTCTATGTACGAGTTGGCTATGTGCGTTTTCGCTGTGTGTGTGTTTGCTTTGTGCGTGTTGGCTATGTATATGTTTGGTGCTTTTTTGCTATGTGTGTGTTGGTTATGTGCATGTTCGCTATGTGCGTGTTGGCTGTGTGTGTGTTTGCTATATGCGTGTTGGCTATGTGTGTGTTGGCTCTGTGCTTGTTCACTATGTGCATGCAAAATGCAGTTATATTTCTTTCTGCTTTCAGTAGATTAAAATGTGCAGAAAAGCAATGAAACCATGGGTTTTTTTTCTTTGTTTTGATTTGCTTTTTTTCACTTTCAACTCAAGATATAAAACAGTCTCTGTTGTCTGTGGTATACTGGTTAGATTCTACTTATTTATGCACTCCTGTATCGTGTTTCACTATTTTCTACCAAATTTGCCCGTGGGTATCAATTAAGTGGAATGAATTATTTAGTTATTTATTTTTAATTTTCACAGTTGTATGTGATAATCACTGATTATGTGCCTCTTTCAAACTCAGCTTAACTTGTCTTTCTTTCTAAGTTCTTCTTTTCTCCTGTTGTTTCAGTGGTTTGGTTTTTACGTGGAAGGACAAGCAAAGGCTGTGTACAACATGACTCAGAGCAAGTTATACCAACAGGTAAATGTCTTTTTCAAACTGCAGATAGGTGTGTTTCCAGCAGGTAAATGCCTGTTTATATCTGCAGATAGATGTTTGTTTATACCAGCAGATAAATGTCTGTTTGTACCAGCAGGTAAATGTCTGTTTATATCTGCAGATAGATGTCTGTTTATACCAGAAGGTAAATGTCTGTTTATACCAGCTAATAAGCTTTTCAATTTGTCGTAAGTGTTAATGATCTTATTTGAATATTTTTTTTTCAAAATCTGGAATTCAACAGTTAACTAAGTAAACCGAGTGATGAAAAGTTCTTTAGAGAGGTTGTTTTTCACAATGTTCCTTTTTTTTTTCCTGCAAGTGTTATTACTTCTGGTCTGAATTTCTTCAGGATCTGCTTGGCCTGAAGGAACTGAACGAGAGTGGTCGTCTTGCGCTCTTGGAGTCACCGACTGATCACTTGCAGTTCACAGAGGAATGGTTCGAAGCAAACATCTTGAAATATCTGAAGTGATTCGTTTTGCTTTCAGCATCAGAAAACTTCTCTGGAGGTGGTGCTTGAGGGAAAGGAAACAAGATGGGATTTTGTTATGTGGTGGTGTGCATGTGTGGGTTTTAATTTTATGGATTCATAACGCAGCAAATCCTCTGTATTTATTTGTAAAGTATGTGTATACTTGTATACATGATACGCAGCTGTATTTGTGTGTGAATATATTTTCATATACCCTCTCTGTCTCTCTCTCTCTCTCTCTCTCTCTCTCTCTCTCTCTCTCTCTCTCTGTCTCTGTCTCTCTCTCTCTCTTTCTCTGTCTGTCTCTCTCTCTCTCAGACACACACGCACACACACACAAGTGCATGCAAGTAAAATACATGGACTCTCACTCACTAATAAACATACTGTCCATCAGTCCCCCCCCCCCTCCCCCTCGTTTCTCTGTCTCTTTCTCTATCTCTCACATGTGCACACACACACACACACACACACACACACACACACACACACACACACACACACACACACACACACACACACATATCCATTGTTTGTATTTGTTATTCACTTGTTGGCATTTTACTTCCCGTCTGTGCAGTCCTCTATGGGACAACACTTAAATATCAAACAAAAAATGTCACACAGATTTCTATTTTTACACAGGCAATTCTATTTCTATGTAAATGTTGATGGTAGAGACAGTTGACAGTAAAAAAAATCAGTGACATTATTACAAGCTCACTTATCCGCCGTCTGTGGTGTAGCAGTTAGATGCTTCGCCATTACACACGGAAGACCTGCGTTGAATTCCTTAGAATTCCTGTGGGGAGGAGAATTTTTATTATCTCGGTTTTTCTGATGGGACGTTATTTCCACCTTGGCCTGGGTTGGCCCCTATTTGTGTCAATAAGGGTGGAAAAACGCCCTCATTTTTAAAATAAAAAAGCTTATTTAGCATATATTTTTATTTATCAGCTATGTACAGAGCAATATTATCATGTACACAAGCCTTATGTAAACTTATGTACTCAGGTCTTGTACTAAGCTTCCAAAGATAAGGTTACTAGAGGGGTTTTTTTCTTTTCTGTTTTGCTGTTGCACCGAGGGCAGGAATATGTAGGAAGTGTTAGTTTTTTGTTGTACAATTGGAACTTGTATGGAGGAAAAGGCGACACATGACAGATGTTATTATAATCTATTTTACTACTCAGGACTCACAGAGTGCTTGAAGATTTTTTTCTCTCACCTTTTTTATTTTGTATTTTGATGGAGTCGGAAGACTCAGATTTTTGCACTTTGACTGACTGGATTACACTACACTTTTTTCTTTGGAAATTGAATTGATTTTGATTTTTCTTTTTTTTTCTTTTCTGAATGTTTTTTTTTTCCTATTGATCAAAATGTTTATGATTGTTGTTTCCTAGCATGACTGTGATTTTTCTGTTTTCAGGAATAGTTTATATTTTTGTCTAGTCTTATGAACTATTTCACACGAAAAGGAAGAAAAGATAGATTGCTCCACGGTGAGAAATGTCTTCATAAAAGCCAAGAGACTGACTGCAAGACTTTAAGATTGGCCGTTGTACGTAAAGAAAATCTCTTTCTGAGACCATCATTGTCTTCTCTTCCCAATTCTTGCATATAGTCTTTAAAAAAAGGAAGAGTAGGATGATTTTTTTGCATATTCTACACATAAAAAAAAAAGAAGGATTTTGGGACTTTTTCTTGATTCTTAGGTCTGGTGTTGGTTCTTTGGTAGTGGTTACTTAATAATATGTCTGGGTTTGCAGGGTAGTTTTAGTTTTATTAAAAGTTTATGACACTTGCAACACAGTTTATAGATCACATACGTGCCCAAGAGTAGTAGTGTAACGCACAAATAAAAGGAGGAGAGGAGATAAGGACGAAAGCTATGTGATTGGAAAGGAGCAAATCACACCAGAGGACCCCCCAACCACCATCAACAGGTGATGAAAGTGAAAATATGGATATTACTGAATTGGGTTCACAGCCCTATTATACACTTTATTATTATTATACTTTATGAATATGTTGTTGATCTTATGACTTACTTTTGAAGCGTTTCAGCCTACAAAAAGTATCCAATTTTTACCCTCCCATTTTTCAAAATAGTTGCTCTTGCTCATGTCTGTATCGGAACAAAAAGGGCTTCAGTATTTCTATTATGTGCAGAAAACTGCTGAATGAGTATCAGAGGAAAATTGTAAACAGAGAAGAGGAAATTCTGGATAAACCCAGATTCCTGAAATTGTCCAAATTTTTACCTGATTTCAGGTGGATCATTGAGAAGTTGTTGCACTTTATGTAAAAACAATTTTTGATACAAGATATGTATTAGACAAAATGATCCATGCAGAATCCGAAAAGTTGAGAATTTTTTATATTGGCTGGTTGGCACCTCTGTATAAAGAATGAGTGTAAGTTGTAGGAAAAGAGTTTCCAGAAGTTCTTAGAGGTAAACCTGTTTTTTCTCTGTACTGTATTTTCTGTGTGGATTTTTCTTTTTCTTTGTTGAATTTTTACATTGATTGTGAATAAATGAACTTACTTGTTTATCTTTTACTTTGTTGTTGTTAGTTCATTTTTGTTGCTCTGCAACTACCACAGGATGAAGGAGAGAAGCATGTTCTTGTTGCTTGTAAAAAGGGGCTTGAGATTAAATTGTAGGGAACGGAACTGCTCTCTTGCACCCTCTGAGAAGTTTTTGGTCCATTTATGTTTTGTTTGTTTTTTCCATTGAAAATATTGATTTGTTTGTATATATATATATATATACACACACATATATACATTACCTAACATGTACAAGATTGCCCTATCAGATATAGTACTGGAGTCCAAATGGAAAAAAAGAAGAAGAGGTAGACAGTTACAGAAGCATGATCAGGGATAAGGGAATCACCCAGGGCCCAGATATATGTCAAGGTTAGAGGAAGTGGCCAGGGACAGAAAAGCGTGGCATCGACTGCTGGCTGTCTACCTTGTTAATGTTACTCGTATACCTGATAGTACAGGGAGAGAGTAAGTAAGCAAATAAATACGTACCTAAGTAAAACAGCACAAGGAGGTAGACGGAGGAAACTCTCTGAGGTATAGGCATTGGAGATGAGATATTTCTACAAACTCCATGCTATCTTGTACAGAGATCACATAAACAAATGAGGTCGTAAGAGCCAAAACTGGAAACACCTTCAACTGAAGAAGACGTCTCTGCTGCTCTCTCCATTACCCCGGACTCTTACTTTCTACTGTTACTCCTCTAACTCCTTCTTTCTGTCTTTCTTTCAGCCAAATTTCTAATCTTAGGATAGGTAATAGAATATCAAACGGAGCTCCCGTGTGCAAGTTGCGCTGGTTAAAGATCCCTTGGTGGTCGTAAAATTGATAAAGAGTTGGCTTTCAGCTGCCACTTGATCAGAAATCAAAATGGTTAAAATCTGAAAATTAATTCCTACTTTATCTGAAAAATCTAGTCATTATACTATAATACATAAAAAATTAAATGGGCTACCTTCAAAACTGGAATGTCGTGTTTTACTATCATATCCATACGACATGGGGAACTCTGTGCCACCACTTTCCAAAGAGGAAATTTACTCGTTAATTTGATCCGTACGCTTTGCATAGCAGTCTGTCAAAATGATTTTTTGAGAAATATTGAAAGTTTCAAAGAGATCTTTGTACTATAAGTATTCTAAAATGTGAAGAATACAACCCAGGGGGTACAAAATGACCCAAGGGCGTACGGATAGGGTTAACACCAGCAAGCTGTTCAAATGTACTGAGCCTGGAAAGCAAAATTTTACAGGAGAAAGTAAAAACTGTTTCATTCTTTTAACCACTGTACCAATATTAAGTATTTTTTTCCAACATTATGATTTTTACAAAATATTTCTGGAGCACTAGTAACAAATACCACAAATTAAGAAACTGCAGTAAAAAAAAAAAAAATCTAAATTTTGGGCTTCGTACATTTTTAACAGCTGGCTGATATTACATTTCTTCTCTTTGATGAAAACGATAAAAAAAACAACCCCACAAGTCCATTATCTAATACTAATACTTTTAATGAAATCTTCAGAAGTACCGTACATACCTGTATACATGTAACATTCACAAGTAACCATAGAGATGGTATTAAATATTATATCCTTGAAACAAATATTACAGTCATCAATCACAAAGTGTGACAAAGCACAACATGGACATTGAACAACAAAATAAAGCACATTGGTGGATACTACGGGGTTCTCAGGTTTTGACCCAGCCACAACCTGTAGATTTTACAACCAGGAATGCCCCTTAGACAAAAATTCGAATCAGTGACAGGTCTATCTTTAAAAAAAATTCTCAACTACATTTTTTCCTCTCAGTCAGCCCAATGTTCTCATAATACATTTAAACTTCTAACAATATGTAGGCCTACATTAAAAAGCCAACTCTTCAACTCAGTTTGTGCCTAGCAAAAACTTATGTCAATAACACACCTGCTGTGCTGAGTGAGCACTTTCTGAATAAACTGGTTGGGTTGAGGGCAGCTCATGAAAAAAACACTATTGCAAAAAAAAATAATAATCTGAAAACAAGAGATGCCTGCACGTTGTGCACATCCATGTGTTGAAACGAAGCTTACTTTTAAATGTTGAAAAATGTATCTGCCAGAATTGGTCTCATTTGTCCTAGCAGAAGTCACAAGTCATCCCCGTATTATTACTTCTATGTTTCTCTTCAGAAATATTCTCCTGTGTAGATGCATTGGTCATCATCAGATACAGATGGACGAATTATTACTATATATAAACTAATATGAATTCTAAAATAAAAACAGCTACTTCATCTTCTATCACTATCATCACAAATTATGAACAAGAGCTGTGGAACATTGGATCCTAGATGAGCCAGACCAGTAATAACCCAACTTTTCTTGGGTCTAAACATTTAACTAACTTGCACTCACTGCTCAATATTACACATCACAGAACGTGTCTGTTAAATTATTTTTCTTGTTGTAGAAGTAAAAAGAACATGAAAACTTAACTAAAGTATTGATTTCTTTTTAGAATAATGTAAGTCTACAAGGTAAATTTTATATATACACAGCAAACCCCAAGCATGGCACAGAGTGAAAGGGAGTATTACACAAAAATTGTAAACATAAAAGTCTAGAATCAATAGCAAAAAAATAAAATACTTTTTCTCTTTACACAAATAATGATTTACAGATGAATAAATTTCTGAGAAGAGACAGAGCTTTATAAACCAAAGTTATTCTTGTTGAGACAGAGTTATACATATACATATATTATATTTCATTCATAAGGCTACACAAATTCTCATGTGAATGTCTTTTATATGGACACTTAAATGTAAGGCAAATAAATGTTATCTTTAAAATCAAGTGTACATTTAACTAATTAGACTCAAGTGAGGCAAAAAAACTTTCAATGCCTTGACCACAGTGCTCTTGTGGATGGTTGGAGGGTGCTACAAGTAGTCGGGTAGGTCCCACTTTTATTTGGTTTTTGCTTCATAGTTTCTGTTCACATGTCTTCTTATTCATTCCTTAGATCTATACTTAATGACCATTGTTATACCAACATGCTTCTCTTAGTCTTTTATTTAAATTCAAACAGCACTCCATGGTTCATGAATATTTTCACTAAGTTCAGGTTTCACTCTGTCTCTGAACTGCATCCTATCGACGGGACTGACAAAATACAGCACAGAAACATCTATCATCCTTATGTCTCTCCATCTTATTTTTTGTGTTACTCTCTAGTAACACCTCTAACCTTCAACACTTATTTGACCCATTTGTGCTGCAGGTGCCGTAAAACTCATAGTAAAACAAAACCCCTCCTCCCCCGTCCCCCTTATTAAGTTATTATATGTCTTAGTATCTATTCCTTGTCTCTCACTTTTCCAGCAGAAAGAAAAAGAACAACTAAAAGGCAGAATTGGCTGCTAGTGATTTTTAGAACAACACTGTTATTTCAATCTTGATCTTTATCTGCACTAAAAGACCATTAGTTACTGTGCCGATCTGAAATGCTTCTCTTTACTCAAACAAACTCTCAACAAAAAATGTTGCTTAAGAACACAACACACAAGACTTGGACAGCACAAGTGCAGATTTTTAAACTAGTACAATCATCAAACTGCCAGTATGGAGAGGCAGACCAAACTGTGGAACACGTCCTCCAGCTGTGCAGGACACACAGAACCCTGAGAGAGGAATGTGGCCAACCCGATTCACACTACAGGAGAAGCTATATGGGCCAACAGGGGAACTGAGCAAGACAGTCCAGTATAGGATAGATACACTGGACTTCAAGAGGGATGCGATCGAGAAGAAGAACGAAGAAGAAGTTGTCCAGGGTAAAAAGAACAAAAACAGTATAAATCTTTAAATGCCAAATTGGCTCCCTTCACTGCACAACGGTGACCTGGGAAACCTGCCTAGACCCCAGATGCGACGTTGACTTGGTAAGGGTTGTAGCAGCGGTCGCCGGCAGACCATCACCCAAACCCAAATCACCCGCGTCAACGACTGACTTCCTTTTCACAGCATCCCATGCCATCTGGCGGGCAACTTTACCATCCATCTGAGAGCTGATGAACTCGGAGATGTCATCCAGAGCGTGTTCCATGTTCAGCTGCAGTTCTGAGACTCGAACTCCGTTGACTGAGGATTCTTGCTCTAACTTTGACAGCTCAGCTTCGTTGTAAAGCCCACTGAGCTTGAAGTACTCTGCCAGCGCTCCGTGCAATTTGGACTGCAGCGATTTCAGCTGTAGAATAGAGGGGATAAACTTAGTGGTTAGTAGGGTAGCCTACATAGCAGTACTTGTCAAACTCTTTATAGCTAACCAGCGCCCACTGCTGCCACCTTTTTAACTCTCAGAAGTCTGCACATCTACTGAGAAGAAACTGCATTATTGCTTTTCTTGTTTAGCCATGGATCTATGCTCCATGCCATATGAGTGTGGTGGGAAATGAACATACAGACAAACTGGCGAGCAATGCGCCTGTCAATACTGACATTAAAATGGACAAAAAAGATGTCGTGAAGGCCCTTGCCACCACATTTGAAGATGAGGAGATTGAGCATGACTATGTGCCAATCTTATGACTTGAAGAACTGGGTGTCTTCAGAGGAAGTGACAGAACCAGCATGGTAGAGGGGATGGAAAGACGCGCTATTAACCAAACGAACATCTGAATGATCAGCAGATGGACTCTGAGGGTGGATATTGGAGCAGGGAGCGGAGCACATATGGCAATGCTCGGAGTGCTATGATGCTGTTCCCAGGATCAAGTAATCAAGTAAGTTTAGCCTATCTCATTCATCATGAATGTCTGCTTGCCTATACAACAAGTTATTTACCGTATCCTCATATATTTAAACTGTTGGGTTTTTTTTTTACAAGCTGGTGGGCAATACAGGCTTGTAGCTTGAAATATGCCTTTTTCATCTTGGAAATACTGACAACAAACCATGCTGCTACACTTACAAGTGAGAATATTTCAAGATTTAAAAGTCTCAAAGAAAGATATCATACAATTAGCGCAGATCTCAGAAATCTTGACTTCATAAGTGCTGGTACCCATAACATTTGCATGTATAATTACAATTCTACAGGGAAAATATATGATATTATGCAGGTGCATTTTGTCAGCAAGGTGTTCCAATATTCTCAGCCCAGAAAGCAACATTTTTCAGGAAAGAGAAAAAACCCAGTTTCATTCTTTTTACCAATAGTAATTGCTTTATGGATCTCTTCTTGCTTTTTCAGCATTAAGAATTAAGATTTTCACAAAGTATTTCTTGAGTTTATGCAACTGATACCACAGATTAAGAAACTGCAATTATAAATATTATAAAATTTGGGGCATAGAACATCTGAACAGTTAGTCGACAATTTGTCTTTCCTCCTTTGTACCTGTTTGACATCTGTGATGGTGGCTTCTATCTTCACCCTCTCGTCGTAGCTGCGAAGCATCTGCTCCTTACAGATGACGTAATCGTTCTGCAGCTGCCGGTAGCGAGATGCCAGTTCTTTGTTCTTCTCGATGAAACGAGCTTTGTCCACCTAAGGAGAGAACAAAATTATGCGGATCATCATTTGCGTAATTCTAAAAAGGAAGTAGAGAAAGGGATAGTGAGGACTCAACATAAAACAAACATGGTTAATCCAAAAACAGTGGAAAACCAAGAGAGAAAATCAACATTTTTTTCCTCCATCATTTGAGCAAACTCTTAAAACTGAACAAATGGCAAAATCGAAGAAAATCCAGTGGTTCTGCAGATTTTGGTGTGCTTTAGGAAGTGGAAAATTTACCTCAACCCTCCTAATATCGATGGTTGACAAAGGTTTCATTCTGCATTAATTTGGTCTCTGTTCTGGTTCATTTATCCCATTTTTTAATACTGGAAAACATCACAACCTCGTCACAAATGAGCTCTACTTCCTATCTATATTCTACTTCATGAAAGTGAACAGGTTTAGGGGCTTTACTTGCTTGGTTTTCTTGTACTCAAGCATTTTCCAACAAGCGACACCACAAAATACAACAAAGAAAATTCAAACCTCATGCTTTTTCAACACGTCCTGTCGATCTTTCAGCAAGTTGCCATGTTTGTTTTCATTTCCTCTCAGACGTTCTGAAGTTGGAAGAAAAAAGAATCAGTACAATTCAGACATAACAATCAGGAAAAAAATTATACATGCCAAGTCAAGACAGAAACTTGTAGACAGCTAGTGAGGGGCATTACTTCCAAGCTCTTTTTGTGAGCCACACTTTACACTCAACAGGAGTGGTGTAGTTGTGGTGAAGTTCTTTGTATTGGATACAGGAGACATGTGTTCAATATCCATTTGGGAAAGACTTTAAAATGCATTTGTGTGGCATCTTGATGAAATCAGGCATTCTCCAAAATGATGAAATCGAACAAGTCAACATTTTTTTATGCCCCTCAGGCAATTTTCATAGAATATTTTTGGGGGCTCAGTACCTTTTATGTTCATGAAAAAATATAGGTGAGGCATCGTGGTGGAATCAGGCGCTCGTCAAAAAAATGAAATTGAAGAAAACAGCATTTTTCCACCGGTTCTGTAATTATTTTCTAATTTTTGTTTTTTTGCTCAACACCGTTAATGTCCAATTAAAAACACATTTTTGAGTGGATTTTACTGAAAAACACTGAATAAAGGAGCCAAAAATTAAAATTTTCATTTCTCAAGGACTCTCAAGCCATCATGGAAGTTACCAAACTTTGGCCGCTGTTTTCTCGATAATTTTACCTGTGAAACAAGGTGACCCTTTTTTCTTCAATCGCAAATATCTCAACTTCTATTCAAGATAGTTGAGTATTTTTTTGCCAAATGCAAGAAAAATAGACAAGCTTTAAGATGATGTTAATAACATTAAATGCCACAAAATTGACGAGAGCCTGATTCCACCACGTGACACATATTCCTGTTTGGATCTAAACATCTACCCATTTAATATCAGAGATAAAAATCTGCCCATTCATAAGTCCTGCTTTAGTACTCAAATAGAATAAATAATAACACTGAGTATAACATACTCATAAATACATTCCAAAACCCAATAGATACAGTGCAAAGTAAATGGTTATTCCTAAAAAAAGCCATGAAAAAACCCACAAAACATAACAGTACATAGAATGCAAAGGTCACACAGGAGGTCAGAAGTGAAATAAGTGTCTAACTATTCTTGGAAAAATTCATACAAGTCTGTTTGTGCCATCCTGAAACCTAGGAAGTAATATTCCAGAGCAGTCATCATCATCACCATCTATTTCCAAACAATCTTCCAGTTTTTATTTTCGCTTTTTTTACTTGAAGCGAAACATTTACTATCATGTTAACACATTTTCTACATAACTTGCTAATATCCAGCACCAAATTGTGACACGCGACAAAAAAAAAGAAGAAAATTAAGGACAGAAGAAAAAAGAAAACTAATCAAGTTGTGCCACGTACCCAACGTCTCGTTGTACTGTTTTCTCAGGTCTTCCTCAATCTTTTTCCCTGCCTCAATTTGCAGGTTCAGTTCATCAAGTTCCGCACTGTTGGATAGAAAGAATGGTAAAGATGCAAGCGACAAGCTCTCAATAGTCACCTGCCACAATGGATGGCCGTATTTGTCCCCTGGTGCCCCCCACTCCTTGCCACAATTCAGGCCTTCATCTTCCCAGGTATCTGGTCTGATGTTTCATTTCATGAAGTTTGTTTAATTTTTCCCATTATATTTCTTTTGTAACATGAGTGAACATTTTACTGACAATTACTTGTCCAAAGTTATATACAACTGCCACTACTACGTTAATTACATCATCTGTAAAGCAGTTTTATTTCCATACCCTCAAAATGATTAATTGGGTAAAAAATCAATGACATCCAATCAGTTTCAACTGCAGCAAAAGAGAATACGTTCTGAATGAGTTAATAATCATATCAAAAACATCTTTTTTTAGTTAGAGTTTTACGGCACTTGCAACACAATAAGGTCATATATAAGTGCTGAAGATTAGACGAGGTGTTACAAGAGAGTAACAAATATAAAAAAGAAGGAGGGGAGATAAAAACGATAGATGTTTGATAGCAAAGAAGAAGCAGCAAACCACACCAGAGCACCCGTCAACCACCCACTCGAAAACATCTACAACAACCAGCACATACGTGAGAGTGGTGATGGCTTGTTCCGACGTCCTCACGGACCGCTCCATCATGCCCTGAGCGGCGTCCATCTCCTCCATCTTGTTCTTCATCAGCTGAGTCCGCCACTCCATGTGGTCCAGCTTCTTGGTCAGGTCAGACACCTCAGCCTGGACAGGCAGTTTTTGGTTAGCTCTGCCCCCGTGGTTTTATACACCCCGCATAATTTAACAAAATTTGATTATTTTTTGCATCTGATTATTTTCCTTTATCTTTCTTTGTTGAAATTAACAGAATTGCATAATTTCACACTTTTGGGCTCATTTTGCATAATTTCAGAATCTTTCTTGCATAAAACGACGGGGACAGGTTTAGCTTTGGTAAGAGTTTTATGGCACTTGCAACACAAATAAGTCGAATAAGTGAGTGCCTATGATTAGAGGTGCTTCTAGAGAGTAACAAACAAAGAAAAGAAGGAGGAAAAATAAGGATGACAGTTTTTTTACACAAACGACAGAGCAAACTATACCAGAGCACACGCTGATCACCCACAAATAAGTCATGTAAGTGAGTGCTAGAGAGTAACATTCAAAGAAAAGAAGTAGGAGAAATAGAAACAAAAGTTGTGTAATAGGAAAGAAAGCGCAAATCACACTGTAGAATCTGCCAACCACCCACAGCCTGGAGTCAGATATTAATAATAATGATAATAATAATAAAAATAAAAATAATAATAATAATGATGAAGAAGATGATGATAATTGGAATTCACACAGTTAAATAGCACCTAGTTCCTAGAGGCTTTAAGTTTAAGCGCTGTATGATGCAGAATTATCACCCAAATTAACTGAGAAATCAAAAACCAGAAATTGCACCACACTACATATCATCTAAAGTTTTTTCTACCGTGAGCATCTGATGGCGAGGTTCAATCCTCCCCAAGGTCTGGTGGAATCTGTCGCTGCTCTCCTGGTGCTGGTTCTGAGTCTCCTCCAGCTTGCTTTTGAGGTCGTTCATACGCTGGAGACACAGCAATATTGTAAGTGTATAAAATATATGTATATCTGTCTCTATATACATAAACAGACAAACTTACTCTTGTGACCACCTTCACCAGATGACTGCCTGTACAAACAACCACTTCCCACAAGCCCGTTGCATTTGTTCCATTTCATGATACTGACCAATTTGACCACAAGTTCAACTTTCATATTTTATCAACCAACAGCCCCCAAAACCTGTCCAAGATGACCACACAAACAAAAACGTTTCATATATTCAGAATATTCCAGCTGCCGATGACGGCATCAGTGAGGAAATGTAAACCAAAACAAAACCAACCCCCCCCCCCCCCCCCGAAAACAGAGCAAGTTGCGAGCGTCATAAAACCTCTACTAAAACAAACAAAACCAAAGTGAAAATCCTAAACCTCCCTGCTCCCCTCCCTCCAAAAAACAAAAACATTTCAATTGGCCTAAGCCTGCAACCACCTCTGGTTGGGAACAGCAATGTGAATGTGTTTTTTTTTTCTCTTAACTGTCTTCTAACCTGCCTTAAAAAAAACCCATGCATCTTAGACAATTACTTTTCTTCTTGATTATGTATGGTTGTCTTGGACAGGTGTGACTGTATGTATCAGCTCATGTACACTCCATTTCTATAATTGTAAAAAGTGACTCAATATGTACAACCTTTTCAACAGCTAAAGGGTGTGGGGGGGAAAAAAGTAGGTTCGAATCTACCAAACTGAAGCCTAAAAAAGCAAGATAACGATCATTAACAACTGTTCTACTCTCTTCTGTCTCTTCTATCACAGCGGATTTGAGCGAGGAATATCTCACCTGCTCCTTTTCCTGTTTGGCCACCCGGAGTTGTTCCACTTTCTGCAGCACCCCAGAAACAGCTTGTTCCACATCATCGGCCACACTTTTTGCCTTAGGTCAAGGATTTTGTACAGCAGAGAGGAGATGCAAAACAAAACCAAAATGTTACAAAACTATTTTACTCCACAAAGTACTCTCATTTTTTCACACATGTTGTCTAAACTTCTCTGTAGAGAAACTTGTAGAAAGCTGGTAACAAGCATTCCTTCCAACCAGAATGTTACAAAACTCTCTTACTCTATGAGTTATTCATTTTGATACATATTGTTTTTTAGTTTTTGTAAAAGTTTTACAGGACTGGCAACACAAATGGGTCTTACCAGCGCTGAAGATTAGAGGTGTTACAACTACAGAGTAACGTACAAAAAAAGGAGGAGAGATACAGAAGATAAGTGTTTCATAGGCAAGAAGTTTTAACTTCTTAATTTGCATTATTCATTGTGAAAACTTTACTACCGTAAATAATATTAAGCAGTTGTGACAGATGCTTACCAAAAACAAATGCAAATTCTAATTATCACACTATTGGTATAAATGTAGATGAGGCGGCATACCTTCCCTTTCTTTTTGGCTGATTCTGTCTTGACTTTCTCAATCTCGGCAGTGTCAGAATTGATGCGAGCTTGGAGGACAGTCCTTGTGTGAATCTCATCCTTCACTTGTCTCCTCAATGTTTCCGTTGTTGTCTGAACAAGATATTAGGAGAAAAAAAACGTAAGTGGCATTTTTATTTAAAGAAATACCAAACAAACATAATTATTCTCTATTTGGAAGTTACAAAATTAATCACTTGAATTTACAAAAATTAAAAAGATAAAGCTCTGGTCACAGGAAGGATAAGTAAAGACATGAAGCGAAAAAAATATTTTCACGATGTTCTTATTCAAAATTTTTTGGACACATTCTTTAAAAAAAATCAGGACTTGATTTATGTACTGACTTCACTTTGGAAGTTACAGCATCAATCCTTTGAATGAAAAAAAGATAAATGTAAAACATAGAGCTAAAGGGATAGGAAGGTGAGGGCAAAGACTTGAAACCAAACTGACCTTCAGGGTCTCTTCAGTTCTGAAAGCCTTATCCTGTTCAGACGAAAGCTGGTCGCGGATGTGGTGGTTGACGGTGGAAATACGATGATGTTCTTCCATCGTGTGATGAAGCATGGACGCCGTACGTTCAATCTCACGATTTATTCGATTGATGTTTTTCTCATCTGCAGTCTTCTGCCGATCACTGAAATCGAATTCTCTTTACTTTGATCATAGGTGATAAGATAAGATAAGATACATCTTTATCGTCCAGATCCTGGCACATTGGTTCGGTGTTTCACCATGTACACACACACACACACACACACACACACACACACACTCACACACAAGCTTGCTCACACATGCAGTATGCTTGCACTCAAAAACAGGCTTACAGTCACATGCATAGTATAAATGAACAGTAATATAAACAATAATAATGTAAAGCTAGATACATGCTCAGTATTCTGATTGTAACTCAGTGGTATTCTGATGCATGCTATCAGGTCATATGAACACCTATAACATGATGGTTAAAATGGAAGAAGTTTGATGGATGATGGTAAGAATGACCTTCTGTATCTTTTTTGGTAACAGATCAGAAGCCTATGTCTTTTATTTGTGACTGATATTTTTATTTGAGGGAACAAGGGATGTTAATTGTCCAAAAGGATGGAAATAATTTTACAAATAAATGACACAGTTCCACATGGACTTTGTTTCTTTTACATTGATCCATAAAAACGTTACTTACTACTGAGAGATAATTCTTAGGGTCATTCAACAACCTTCTAAAATTATTATTTTGAAAAAGATGACATTTGTGAACATGAGCTGAAATTATTTTTACCTAATTTTCATATCTGAAGTAATTTCTAAAGTATACTAGTTTTTGTAAGACAGCGTACAAAATAAATTTGAAAGAAAAATGACTCAAATTTTTGTGTTTTTCATTTACATAAAGTAGTCCAAAAACAAAATTTCAACCACACTAATAACAATGACATAATTTATAAAAAATAAATTCACTTCCTAACTTAAAAACATCCCTGCTGACAGACGAACTGTTTCTTTTTTAGTTAGTTTTAGTAGTAGAGGTTTTACGGCACTCGCAACAGCATAAGGTCAAATGAGCGCCAGCTGTTTCTTTAAATATACTCACATTGATTGAACTTGAAACACCAAACATACTGATTCTCACATTGAAATAAAACTTTTCATATTCTGAGAACTAACCAAAATATTTTATGAGATCTAGTTCGATAATTCCAATGAGGATTCCTCCTTAATTCAAGTGATGACATATCACAGTCTTTCCAATAAATGCTTTAGACAATTCTTCTCACCATTTTTTAATCTTCTCCTCACAATCTTCAATCTCCATGCTCAGTTCCTGGTTTTTACGGGAGACAATTCTATACTTCGCTTCCAAGGCTTTCAGCTGCCTCTCCAGATCCTGCAGCTTGTGAAAGTTCCGGTTTTTCTGTCGATCATCAAAGTTATTTTTTAAAACTTTGAGGCAAAATGCAATCAAAACAGAAAAACAACACATAACTACAGCAAGTAGGAAAAAAAAAATGAAATAAAACCTTTAAGAAAACAATACAATTTTGTCAATATGTCTTTGACTGAAATAAAGCCCCATCAAATATTACTACAAAGCTCTTCTTAGGCTTTCAGTAGAGGAGCAGTGTAAGTAGTTAACGAATCTCAGAAGAAAACTTTTTCAGTACTCTGACCTAAGTCTAAGATGTGACCACACTACAGAACAACTTATAAACTTATATCATGTATGGATGAACCGGCTCTAACCGCCAAATGTCCCAGACAATCACCTATACAAAATATCATCTACCGCTTCCCCCTTGAGTTTTTTTTCTGTATTATAATAACTCTGTCCAAGATATCCACCTGTCTAAGACAACCACTTTTCTCCTCGACAAAGGGTGGCAGTCTTACAGTACTCCACACTCCAAGACACAACAATGAGTTAACAATGGCAGCACAAACAGACTGAAGTAATGTAATTGTGATATTTCACACCTTCATTCATATGATTTAGATCGTTTAGGAGGCAGACTGCTACGACCCTGCTTGTCAGGGCCATCCTGAAATGAGCTGGATACAACATTCCAAGGGTCAAAAGAATATACTTTATAACCCTCCCCCCCCCCCCCCCCCATACACACCTTTGGAATTATTTTTAATTTTATTTTTACCCCCCCCCCCTCAATTTCTGCCATTGAAAGATCAATGAAGTATGTCTGCACTTGACTGATATTTTTTTTTCTTCTATTTAAGTAAAGGGGTTGTTCACTTACATTCATTTTCAGCTCTTGCTCTAGTTGCTCATTTTCATTCTCCAGGCGACGATGCTCAAACTCAGCCTCAGTGATCTTGGCTTGTAGATCCCGTACCTTTGAAAAGAAAAAAGAAAAAACATCTTTAAGTCACACATCAAAATTCTAAAAATTCACTAAATATAGACGATCAAACCTCTTCCACTATGTGGTTGGTCGGCGCTCTCATGGTGTTAATTGCTTCTTCTTTCTTATCAAACATCTATTGCCCTTATCCTGCCTCCTTTTTTGGGGGCATGATTCTCCAAAACTGGTCTACGTACACTTACTTCATCTTTCATCTGGTTTACAGAGGAAGTTTTAGTTGGTATAGTGACAGCTTGAGAAGTTGCTTATTCTTCAATAAATATTTGTGTTGAAATCCCACTTAAATAAACATTTTATCTTGTCAGCACAGATGTAGGGAATGACTCAGCAATGAAGGGGATATGTCATAAAAAATGATTTCTTGTTGTACAATAGAAAAACAAAATTTAACTATAGAATATATAACATCTGCAAGATGTTAAAAAAATTTACAGGAGAGAGAAAAAAATTGTTTCATTCTTTCAACAAATGTACCTACATTATGTACTTTTTCCTGTTGGTTTTTTTTTTTCAAATTAAAAATTTGAATGTCAACAAAATATTTCTTAAGCACATGCAACTAAACCACAGATTAAGAAACTGCAATTTTTTAAATTTTCAAAATTTTGGGCTGAGTACAATTAAACAGCTGGCCGACCATAAACTAAGACTTAATCAAACTAGAAATCAATATCATTATAAGGAAGAAAGAACAACACATTTACCTTTGTGGCTTGCATTTCTTCAGCTGTTCTGGCGTTTTCGTTTTTGACCCGCAGGACCTTCAACTCCTGGTCATTGTCTGTGAGCTGAGAGTGGATGTCATTGACCTGGTGTACGAAGGCGTTGTATGTCATCTTGGCCTCTGTCAGCTCTTCGCTGATGAAAACAACATAAAGATATACAAACGTAAAGATTAAAATTTCTCTAATTAAAATTTAGTAAAAGTGTTATGGCACTTGCAACACAAATAGGTCCAGCATACCTTATGAAAGGCCTTCCCTATACTGCAGCAAATAACAAAATGTTAAAGACCTTAACTTTTTTAACATGTTACTGGGCCGAAGGGCACGCTCTCAAAGATGACTGGATCAACAAGAAGAAGAAGAAACAAGTAAACACATTCTTTGAGAATATGCTTGGCAAATGTAAGAAAGAACTACTCAGAAAACGTACTTAGCTGTCAGCAAAATCCTGACCCGCCTGCCAGTCTGAGGATTGCTGGTCTCCAAAGCATTAAGTATAATACAAACTAAAAGGTTTTCTGGGGTGTTTCCCTGAATTTTTCCTCTCAATGTCATGCATATAACTAGCTCAGTCAAATAATCACAGAGGTATTTTATTTTTCTTCTGAAGAGCCATACACAAGCAATGCTTCAAACTCGGACAAAAAATAAAAAAGACAGGTGTCATGAAGGACGGCTCAGCACAGTGGCCATTGTGCATTATGAAACACTGATATAATTGTTGTATGAGTATTCATTTTTATGTATTTATGTACATATAAGTATGTCATTGTTTGACTCGCGCAAGTCAAACATCTGTTTATTTTTTCTATTTCGCTTTGGAAATATTCTCCTCTGCAGATGCAATGGTCATCATCAAACGTTGACGGATGAACTGTTATTACTATGCAGGATCAGTGAAAGAAAAAATTTAATCTTTTTTCTTTCTTTTAAAGAAGTAAGTTTATACAAATCTATTCTTAAAAAACAATTCAGATCTTTAAAAGGTGGGAATCTGACCCAGGCTGAGAGGGATACAACATCCTAGCAGAAAGACCAAGATACTCGATTAAAATTTTCTCTCTACTCGGAAATAGAACTCAGGTCTCCAACATGCAACAACAATTAAAGTGCCTGACCACTACACCACAAATGCTGGCACGTATGTTTCTGTTCACTCCACAAATTCCGGCACGCATGTTTGAGTTCACCTGATGTTAGTGAGGTCATCCCTGACAGAATCAAGCTCCTTCTTTATGTGACCTCTCTCTGTCTCCGCTTTTGTGAGGGCCTCCGTCGACTTCATCTCTGTCTTGGCCTGTCGCTGCTTGGTCATCACCAGCTCTTGGTCAGTCTAGGAAATATTTGATGATGAAAAACAACATTAAGTACAGCACAAATCCTCACTCATCAGCAAGCTCTATGCAGTTTACAATCTATATTATTTCCTAAGCAAACCTGTTAGCACTATGAAACAATCTCAACTTCCTAGGGAGCATGAAGTGCAAGCTGCCATTTCAAAGGGGCAAAAACACTATAATATTGACAAGATCTTTTTCTTGTACCAAGAGTGTTTTATGTCTTTATTTATCAGGGCAATTTGTGGTGATGATTATTTTGGGGGGGGGGGGGGGGGGTGGAATTTTCAAACTGAAAAATAATTGAAACACTCCTTACCTATTCTCCTTTTTAAAAGAAGATGACGATGATGGTGGTGGTGACAAGGAAATGTAGCACTAACTGTAATATTGATAAATTTGAAGGACAAACACATTATTCTTGGCATTGATTGATTCCTTTACCATTAAGCAATCTCTGAATTTGCAAAGAATACTTCAAACAGTAAAGTACTTTTTCTTACATGCCTTTCAAAGCAAACCACTTAACAAATTCCACCAGAGGAGAACGGGTTAAAATCAGGGAGACTGCTCAGAGTAAAACTCTGTCAGACGTCACTTTTCAAAATGGTGTACAGCGGAATCCAACACTAAGCAGTCGATGAGCATGTGAAGCTCACAGAGACAACACAGAGAAACAAGCTTACCTCTCCCTGAGCTTTCCTGATTTTCTCCATAGCTTCCATCTCTAGAATAAGCTTCTCTTGAACCAGCGGACTATAGAAAACAGAAATCACAATTTTCATAAAGTTAGCAAGAGTAGGGAAGTATATGATAATATGGTGTATTTAACATCAACAAACAGCCACATATAGTGGGCTTCTTAAACAGAAGCATCAGCTTAGTTGTAAAAATACACATAATGCATTTAGTAGGACAAAAGATTTTAGGAATAAAGTTAATTTCTTACTTAGAGCAGACTTACTGCAGTCTCATGTGTACATGTAGAAGTATAAAATGATATGCTGGGAGAGAAATAATGCATCTGATTCAATTTTCATTGAGTAGAATGTATTGTTGTGGTAGTATATCTGAAGTGCAGATGAACTTGCTTTAACAGCCACCTGGCCAAGACAATCACCCATACAAATGACCATTTCCCTCTCTCCCCACCTCCCCCCCCCTCCTGCATTTTTTCTAGATTGTAATGACACTGACTTAGACATTCACTTGTCTAAGACAACCCCTTTTTATCTCAAGAATGGGTGGAATGTGTGGCCATCTTGGGCAATTGCTGCAATAACGACTGTAATTGCAGATAAAAGTTAAAAGTTGAAAATCATTCTGCGACAAAACGAGAATAGCCTTCTCTCCCTCAACAGGATAAGGAAATGACTTAAGGGAAACAATATAACACACAAACAAAAAAAGGACAGACTTACACATGCTGCTTCACAAAGGCAATGTCTTCTTTGAGTTGAGTGTTCAGTCTCTCAGCCGTACTGAAGCGCGTCTGAGCCTTTGCCTCGTTACGTTTTGCAAAGCTCACATGCCAGTGGAGTTCATTCAGGTCCACAATGCAAGCCTCATGCTCTAAAAAACAAAAGTTTATCACAAAAAAATGTAAAATTCCACATTTTGAATTAAAATTGGGATAAGTATCTCAAACAGAAGAACATCATGGGCCAGCTGCTCAAATGTACTAAACCCCAAATTTTAACTTTTTGAAATAATTGCACTTTCTTAATCTGTGGTATTGCTTGCATGTGCTCAAGAAATGTTTGGTCAAAATTCAAATTCTAAATGTTGAAAAAAAAAGGCAAGAAAAGACACTTAAAACAGGTACAATTGTTAGAGATATGAAACATTTTTTTTCTCCCCTCTGAAAAATTTCACATTCTGAGCTTAGAACATTTCAACAACTTGGTGACAACATACCTTCATGAGGTAAAACATACAAAAACACTGAACAGACTCCAATATCAACTTGGACAAAAAGAAACCAAAATATGTTTGATGTGGGCTAAGAAAGGAATCTAACACTGCAGACCTGAGAGCATTCTGAAACAACCTCAACTTCCTGGGAAGCATACAGTGCAAGCAGCCATTTATAGGTGCTAAAACACTGACATACTAATAAGATCATTCACTGTCTGCGGCCGGGAACCCATTCCCACCTGGGTGACGTGAAGAAAATTCGTGCAAAGGTCTTTCCCAAGGACACAACGTCGGGCCCGTGGCTTGAACCCCCGAATCCGCAACCTCACGATTACGAGTCCGGTAGCCTAACCAGTAGGCCACCGATGCCACTGATAAACAAACTGTAAATTCTCAAATAAGGTGAATGAGCCAAAAAAAAAGGAAAAACTAGAAAAGCAGGTTAGGAAATCGATAAACTCTCATCACTGCATGTGTACAGGTTCAAACAGACAGGTTTCGCATACAAACTGTTACCTCTTTGCACGAGACTTGGCAGTTCCCTCATCCTCTTTAATTGCCACTCATCGATTTTCTGTCGGAGTTTTTCCGCCTTTTCTATTTCTTTCATGTAGTTCTCCTGAGTGTCTTGCCGGTCTGACTCAAGCCGGGCCAGCAGGGTGATCACTTCGTCAATCACATCTTGGGCACCCAGGTATGGGATTTCTTCGACATCAATCACTTCCTCCTCGACTGTTATAGGGGAAAAAAGACATTGACAATCATCACAAAAGAGTGTTTGTGAAATAGAAACAAGGTAGTAGGATGGAAGGAAAAGAATAATGAAGGGTTACCTTGACTATGGCACAAGTCATTGAAATCAACACAATGTTCTTCACAAAGAAATGATTATGTTTTCGGGAATGATATAGCAACATGGCTTTTTCAGCAGATGGTGATGAGAAAGGGAGGGGGGGGGCAGGAGAGAGAGAGAGAGAGAGAGAGAGAGAGAGAGAGAGAGAGAGAGAGAGAGAGAGAGAGAGAGAGAGAGAGAGAGAGAGAGAGAGAGAGAGAGAGAGAGAGAGAGAGACAGACAGACAGACAGACAGACAGACAGACAGACAGAGGGAAAGAAACAGAAAGAGGGAGAGAAACAGAGAGGGAGAGAGACAGACATAAGGAGAAACATAGAGAGAGAGAGAGAGAGAGAGAGAGAGAGAGAGAGAGAGAGAGAGAGAGAGAGAGAGAGAGAGAGAGAGAGTTAGAGAGAGCTAGAACTAGAGAGAGAGCTAGAGAGAGAGCTAGAGAGAGCTAGACAGAGAGAGAGAGAGAGATAAAGAGAGAGAGAGAACAAAGAGAACTTTGCAATAGCAAAAGGGGACTCCTAGACCGGGATTTCTTTGTGTTCATGGATGACTTTAAGTGTTTGCTACTCGATTAGATAGCACTGTCTTAAGAATTTAATGATTAACTGCATTTTTCTATAACGAACATAGATGTGGTCAACAGGGTTTGATGAGAGTTGGAGAGATGTGAAGGCAAGGGGTCAAATCATTCTTCTTGTTCCTGTTCATGGTGTGAATGAGTGTGTATGTGCGCGCGCGCGCGCGTGTGTGTGTGTGTGTGTGTGCGTATGTGTGTGTGTATGTGTGTGAATGAGCATGTGTGTGTGTGTGTGTGAATGTGAGTGTGTGTGTGTGTGTGTGTGTATGTGTGTGAATGAGTGTGTGAATGAGTGTGTGTTGATGTGTGTGTGTGTGAGTGTGTGTGAGTTTGTGTGTGTGTGAGTGTATGTGTGTGTGTGTGTGTGTGTGTGTGTGTGAGTGAATGAGTGTGTGTGTATGTGAATGAGTGTGTGTGTGAATGAGCATGTGTGTGTGTGTGTGTGAATGTGAGTGTGTGTGTGTGTATGTGTGTGAATGAGTGTGTGTTGATGTGTGTGTGTGTGAGTGTGTGTGTGTTTGTGTGTGTGTGAGTGTATGTGTGTGTGTGTGTGTGTGTGTGAGTGAATGAGTGTGTGTGTATGTGAATGAGTGTGTGTGCATGTGTGTGTGTGCGTGTGTGTGTGTGTGCATGAGCATGTGTGTGTATGTGTGTGTGTGTGCGTGTGTGTGTGTGCGTATGTGTGTGAGTGTGTGTGTGTGTGTGCATGTGCATGTGGGTGTGGGGAAACACCAAATCAATTTGCCAGCACCTAGACAATAAAGATTTACCTTATCTATCTTACACTTCTTAAGCAATTTTTCAAATGTCTGTAAGCTCATGAACTATTAAAATATCTCTGAAACGATTCATGCACCTTTTTTTTCCTGCAGTTGTGTGTCACAAAAAACTTGAGCTGACATCTTTACATTCCTTTCCTCTTCCTTATGCCCAAGACTGAGCACTAAAATTAGATTTTTAGATTTTTCATATGACACAAATTGTATTTTCAAAATGAAGTAAAAAATCTACTAGTCCTCATTTTTTTTTGCTCTCTAATGAAACGAAAGCAATATTATTGGGCGGAGGGCAAAAAAAGCAATGAAACCAAATGACAAATATATAGGTATATTAAACCAATACTGTGCGCAACATCTACATCATAATATATACAGTAAATTTTAAGCCCATTAATTACCTTCTTCAACTTGATGCGTCCCTTTTCCAGTGACGGAAAGCTCAGCTGTTGAGCCCGACAAGCGAGATGAGGATGCCCTTGACACGGTGCTCCCTTTGTATGAGGGGCTGCCATGAGAACTGACGTAAGTCTCATCTGGTAAGTCTTGAAACCGTAACTGCTTTTTGACTCCTGAAAAAAACATTTTGCAGAATTTTAACACTTACAACTCATACAACTATTCCCTGCTTTGTCGCAGGAAGTTTAGTTTGAAATATGAAAACATTCGCTTTTTAGCATAAAAAGATAGGTTTCAAGTAAGCAAATAATACCACCAGAATTTTAAGAAAAGAAAGACGATTTGATGTAATTTGTGGATATAGTAGTGTACAGGCAAGCATAACTTTATGACAAATGAAGAAAATAAGAAAAAACAAAAATTTACCATCTAGCCAGTAGATGTGATAACTTCTAAGAGTAAAAAATTTAAATACTAGACTTGTTTCCTATTTCTTTTGAGAGTAAGAGCAGTATATGGCATATGGGGACAAAAATTCCAACGGAGAGAGAGAGAGAGAGAGAGAGAGAGAGAGAGAGAGAGAGAGAGAGTGAGACAGTGTGTGTGTGTGTGTTCAGAGACATACAGAAGCAAATTGTCATGGTCGGAACACAACTGATGACAACAGGGGAAAAACGACTGTAGTCACAAACTGAAAATCGTCATGAGGTTATCAATTTTGAATGCTTTTTGACTATTAACTGTATTTCTGTTCAACTGTTGGTTGATTATTTTTATTAAATTTACCATTCAACAACACTTAACAATAAACCACCAGTCAAACAAATGTGAAGTTATGAGTCCATAAGCTTTTAAAATTGGCACCCCCACAATTTCTAGTTTGTGACTACCGTCATTTTTCCCTTGTGCTCTTCAATTGTCTCAGTCCTTTTAAAACATAAAAAGCAAACAAAATACAAACAAAAAAACCCCCAGTCCTTACCAAAGTACGTCAGCCTTCACACTTGAGCAAAAGTGAAAACGTCTCAATAATGGCATTTTAAGTACAGTTGAACCTGCTCTGTTTGCTATCTGCTCAAGAAAATCACCTGTACAAGTAGCCACTTCCCACTTCCCTCTTTGTGTTTTCCTACATCATTATGACACTGCCCACAACATGCACCTGTCCAAGGAAACCACTTCCCTCCTCGACAATGGGTGGCCGTCATGGACAAAATAAATATGTAGATAATTTCAGTTTTCTGACATAGAACCTGCCATTCACAAATTCTAGTGGTGGAGTGCACAAAAAATGAGGCTATATATATTTTTTTTTTTTAAACAGTAAGAGATTTGTTGCACCAAATCAAAATGTACAAAAGCTTCACATAATAAAACAAGGTTTACAACAAAATCGTAGGTCTTTGTTACCAGGTTTTCATTGAATGAGCGCATCCTCAACTCACCATGGGCAGAACTGTGACGGCTGCTGGCTCGGGATTTTATGTCCTCTGTTAGTCGTTTGAACCATTCATCTATTATATTTTGAATCAGCTCAATGTGTGAGACAGCTTTTTTAACACATGGCATTCGGCTCAAAGAAAGCTCGCAACTCCGAGGTCTGAGCTTGAGGAGGGAAATCTTTGGCCAGTTTTCAGGAAGAGGATACACTTTGTCTGGAAAGAGAATTCATTTTGAGTATCAACATTGAAGAATAGTTAAGTAAAGAGATGAATCCGCACCTTTTTCAAACATGCAGATGTGACAGAAAAACTTTCAAAGAAAAATATTGTTTGAAATTATTGTGTTTGTCATAACGGGATTTGATGGATGACCCACAAAGTGATTAACAAGTTGATGATAGCAAGCTGTACAGACCACAGGAGGGAAATGAACTCATTCAAGTCACAAAAGAATTTTCACAAAAGATAAATATTTAAAAAAAATTTTTAAAATGATGTCATAGATATAAATACATTGTATATGTTGAAGCGAACTACACAGTTTGTACGCGACATCGGACTGACTGTCTAGCTGCTGTCATCGAGAACGAGGAAGAAGAAGAAGAATTGCATATGTATCGATACTAAAATGTTTCCATATTTACTGGCTGTCACATTGTTTCATGTACTTAAAAAAAAAATAGGCCTGAAAGAAATTGGCAGTAAAACAAAAGTAAGCATGGAAACCAAAAATATCAGGTACTTTTAAACTTTACATAAAGGCAGAAATATTCTTTTTCATAAATAAAGAAAACTACTGGAAAAATGTATGGATTTTTGTGTCCTAGCTGTGAACAAAGACACATATGAACACTATCTACTAGCAAGCGTCAAATGTTATTAAACAGACATTGCTTCCAGAATTCAATACTAAGAGACAATTTCAAATCTTTCTCACCTTCGGCTTCAGATTCATCAACACATCCGGATTCAGTTCCTGCTTCAGAGACTGAGCTGCCCCCTGGAAATTAGAAAGAAAACCAAACATTCAATTTAAAAATAACTTATGCTAATCTTCAGTTCCCTTTGTGCATGTCAATAGGATACTTATTACTGAAGAATATGCAGGCTGGGTTCAAAGCAAAGCTCTCTAAGAGATAGGTAGGAGCAGGATTCCTTTACATTATTAATAAGAATTTTAAGCAAAAAACATTACATATATAATCAGTAGGCAGAAGAAATGAAAAAAGTGGGACATATACAGTTCTTACATCGCAAAAGCTCTCAATGAATGTTCCGCCACACATATTTATTATTTATATATCTAAAAAGTAAGTCGGATCAGTTTTCTGCAATAATTAATCCTAGCAAGGTTTAGCCATGATTAAAGTCAAACCTGCCCTAACGTTCAAATGTTCAAGATAATTGCCTATGCAAACAGCCATTTCCCACATCCCTTTTTCCATCTTTTATTGTAAAATGACGCGGTCTAAGACATCATCCTGTCTAAGCTAGTTGACAATTTTGACTAAACCCAAACATTATGTTTGTGTAACATTCTGTTCTATCTTGTATAATTGCAGAGTCCCTCTGTTCAGTAGTCAGTTGGTAAAAGCCCTTAAATCCAAAAAATCAGAGAGATATTCCTGCTTCCATGATATGTTAGCTATGGCTATGGAATTACCAGGGGAGGGCCGGTCGGCTTTCTTTTAAAACATAGCAAATTAAAATAAAAATATTAATTACTTACTTTTGGAGTGAACTGCACTTGTAGACCTGCTATTGCCTCTTTGCGAATCATCACAGATTGATGTTTTCTTTATCACACTTTTTAGCAGACTTCTGTCGGTATCCAATAAACCAGCTTCTTCCTGCTCCACCTCCTCCAGCTTCACAACTTTAGTTCCTGCCATGCTCATACTCTTTCTGGACATTCTGGTCGTGCTGTTGTCAGCACCTTGCTGTGCTACTGTCAGACAAAAGAAAAAAAATCAACCTAAGTATCATGGACGCTACAAGTTATTAAATTTGCTACTTATTTTATTTACAAGCCACAACTTTTCTTTGCGTTGAGATGTCGAAGTAAACTAGATTAGTCGATAACATCTAAATTCAATAACGATCAGGGCCGCCTCAAAACAACAAAAATCAACTTAATGTCTACAAAGAATCAAGTACAGTTCACTTGCAAACTATCTACATCTCAAAATCCTACAAAAGTAAGACCTCTCCAAAAACATATATCCATTCATGCTTTTCTCTCACTCCCACTGGACGTACATTACAAACTCGGTACATTTACTGTTATCCGTACTGTTACTCAACATACATGAAGAAACAATCCGCCATCTTGACGCTTTCGTGTATCCACGGACGGAAATGGACGGATTCACCCGAAGCTCGCCCCGAAGTTAGCCGATGAAGTCAAAAATAAAATCCAAAATGGCGACGGCCAGTCTACTTGGCGTATGAAAACAAAAGGATGTTTTTGTTTATGTTTCAGCATGTATTGCATATTTGGGATCTGTCTTGCTCACCTAACCAAGGTAAATACTTTTACAATTAAGGTATTCCCATTGTGCGTATATAATCAAGCTGCTGAATTAACTGTTTCTGTTGAGGAGATGACAAGACGTATGATCTCCCTCTCCTCAGCCATTGCCACCACCAGCTACCACCAAGCCGAATTCAGCTTTCTCTTTTGCCTTGTTTCATCTTGATCGGGCAGTTTAGTTCTTCAGCTTAACACGATGCTGTAAATTGCACACCGCCTCCTTTTAAAAGTCAATTTATCATGCTTAGTATACTAAAATACTTTTTGCCTACAATTATCTTTTGATTGGAGTCTGTGGTTGAACTATTTGCTCATCATCATTGCCACCAATCCAATGCCAAGCCAATGCCATTTGAAAACAATAAATGAAGATGGAGAAACAATTGTATTCAGCTGTGACGAGTATGACTATGGTGTATGATGTAGTATATGACTTAGTTCTCTAGTAATAATTCTATGTAAGGGATGTAATCCTAGCTTATGTAAATCTAGTGCAATACGTGAAATGAATCGAATGTGTGACTTCCCAAACTGACCGACTTTGTGTGCAATGAAATGTTACTGTGGTGTGATAAAATTAGAAACATACATCAGGAAAAGTTTCGCTGTGTGTGAAATTTTTATTGTGGTCACTGATTTTCATGTATGACTACAACTAGAAGTATGGTTAGTATGAAAGCAGCTTATGGAACAATATCTCAACAGAACACATTTGGTACAGGTTGGCAACAGTTTGCAGATGGTTATCAGTTGTTTTCAGTTGTCAGAAAAACAGATCCAATTATAGCATAGAATATAATACCATCCATAGGGCTACTCCTCAAATAAGGACAGGCGGTTTCATTAATAAAGTTACCTAATGTAAACTAGGTCTGTAAGATTTGTCCTCAGAAAAAAGGCAGAAGTGGGCTATTTTTCCAATGGATAAATCCATTTTGTAGAGATTGTTCTCAGTGTACTTTTGTGAGCTGCTGTATACTTACAGTTGAAGCAGGGAGTGGCAGCCCTACATTTTTGTTGTCCTTTAGAATAGCCATTATATTGATTAGTAGTAAAGCACTTTTCCTTGCTACACCAGTCCTTCCATCTCTACGCTGCTCCCTACCTTGGCTGGATAAGAGGGATCTTTAATGTGCATAAATAACTTGCACACAGGACCTCCAAGATTTTTCGCCTTGTCCGAGAAGGTTAGGTGTAGATCTTTCCTTCCAGAAGATCAGGGGTGTGGCTGAAAGACAGCAGTAAGAAGGAGCCAAGGAGTAGCAGTAGAAAGGCTGCAGAAAGAGTCAGGAGCCCAGATGAGGGGGCAAAGGAGGTGAGGGGATGGGGGCAGAAAATGGAGACGAAAGCAGACGACAGAACATTGATTGCTAGAAAGCAGAATAGGAGGTGAAAGACAATTTTAGAGAACATTTTTCCGTGGCTACCCGGATTCGAACCGGGACTTTTGTCTTTACATTTTTAGATTTTGTCAATGTACTTTTCAATTTTCCACATATAGTTTTGAAATGTATGGAATGGTATGGAACATTATGTAAACGAGCTGTTAAAAACATCTTTTATTAATTTTAGTAAACTATCAAAAATATTTTAGGAGCTCAATGTTTTGCAGTTTATTTAATTATGTTCACCTCTTTTGCATTTTGTGATATTTCTTGTAAAATATGCTTCAGATAGATACTAAATTATTTTTTTTACTATGACCATGACCCCCTCTCTGCAGAATGCAAATTTACTCAGACTTTTTTCCCCAGCACTCTTAGTGCTCCTCTCGTGTGATTGAATGAGAGACACTTATGGCTGCTGCTTAAAAATTTTGAAGTTCATCATGGAAATGGAGAACCAGTCTCTGAAGGATAACAGTATCTCCGCCAGTTTGGTTCCCAGTCGTAGAAGTGTCAGACAGTCAATGCGCAACAAGAAATGTAAGTTGATTCCTGCGCTTCAACAGTTTTATTTTGTTCTGATCCTCAGATGTGATTGTGCTGTTTTAGGTCAATATTGCTTGTAAGTGTTCGAATAGTATTCCATCACATGTAAATCAAATAAATCTGCGCAATATTTTTGTGACAGCTTCAATTCCTGGTGTGTCTATGTTCAAGAGTTTTCAGTTACAACTTGCCGTTTTAATCAATTTCTCTCAAAACTAAATTTTTAAAAACATTTTTATGTCATGACGCAGTGGAATCCTGAAGGCGCTCGTCAATTTTTGGGCATATGGAGTTATTGGTATCATCTTAAAGGCATTTGCCTTGCTTCTGATTTTTAAAAAATCCATTTATCTTTAGTAGAAATGGAGATATTTGCGATTGAAGGAGGTGGGGTCACCTGGTTTCAGAAGTAAAATTAGTGAGAAAATGGCCGCCAAAGTTGGGTGACTTCCATCGTAAGAGTCCTTGGAACCTGCAAATTTACCCTTTTTGTGCCTTTAATCAATGTTTTCTCATAAAATCCTCAACTTAAAAGTGTTTTTGCATGGACATACAAGGCATTGAGCCAAAAAACAACCCAAAAATTTCCAAACAGGTCGAAAAATGTTGATTTCTCTGATTTCATTATGTTGACGAGCGTCTGATTTCACCACGATGCCTCACATATGGTCTCAGCCAGTGAGATTATTAGTATGAGCCAGTCTAACAAGGTGAGCATAACCAGGGACCCTCTTTTCTTCTGCCCATGAAAATGCAGTACAAATGGAGAACTGGTATATAAAAACAAAGTTGTTTTTTTTTTAAATCAGGAAATGAGCATACAAACTGTTTTATTTGAAATTGGCCAGAGTCCTCATTTTAGACACAGGACAAGTCAGTAATTTAGAAAGCTATTTTCTTATTTAACTTACATTTAAGTGAGAAGTATGCTCAGGTATTAGTTATTGTAATGTACATTTTTTAACACTGTTTTCATTCATTATTTGATCTGATTTCTATCCTTCAGACAAATTTGACCCCTCCGATTTCAAGCCAAAGCCTAGGGCGTCAAACTTATCAACTGTAACAAAAACAAACGGACCTACTACATTATCCATCAAAACGGATGATGTTTTCACTATGAAGAGTTCCGATTGCTCAAAGACTCTCAAGATTTCCAATGGCCCACAGCACATGTCAAAAACAAACAGCAAGAGGTGCTTTCCTACTTTGTTTGCCAAGGGAGGAATGAAATTTAGCATGCGGGTACGTATAAATTTCTGTTTGACTTCTGTTAACTCACAAGAGGGAAAGGAACAAAGTGAGTCGATGGAGCTGTGAAACTTTGACAATCAATCAAATGCTTACAGGCAATCAGGACCAAATTGTAATGTGAAGCCAGTTTGTCTTCATAATGCAGTGGTCAGCAGATGCCCAAGTTGTTCCATCTTTCTTTCTCTACTTTTGATTTTAATTTGTTGTATTGAATTTTTGAAGTGTTGGAAGTGCATTTTGTAATGGTCTTGCCCTGCATACATTTTACCTTCAAGGTCATGTTGAGCAGGTGAGCTCTGAGGTTTTGTTATTGCTTCCAATCACAACAGCATAAAACATTGGGTCATTCTTCTTTTGACTTGGGCATTTATAGTTTACAAATGTTCATACCATTTATAATTGCTGAGCAGTTAAAAAAGCTAAATCCTTTTTGGTAAAGGGAAAACATTTTCTTCCCTATATCGATTCAGTGTATAGTGGTTAAGAGTGAGTGAGCGACCTTTTTCTGATACTGTGTTGGGATGCTTACATAGCTATTATGTTGTTGTCATTGTTGATGAAATCAGTAGATGTAGGATGCGTCACTATTTTTTTTTGACAGCCGAGAAAAAGAAGCAGCAAACGGTCCAAGTCTGTGGCAGCCCAGATTGAGCAGACCAAGGATGGATGCATTGACATGACGCCAGACTCCATCCTGTGTAAAACAAATCTCAAGGTAGGTCCAGAATTTTTGTGAAGTTAAATTGTTTAATTCATTCACCATGAAATGCCAACTGATTGGCTCAGCATCTTCCTCCTCATCAAATGTCTATATAAATGCTTGAACTTTTCTAGTTCAGACTTTTTGATATAGTATGTTTTTGTCAGAAAATGTTCATTTTTTCAAATTCCCTTGTCAATCTCTTTTCATTTGGTATGCAATATGTAATACTTTGCTGACCAAATAGGTAAATTAGTGGAGAAAACAAAACTTATATATGAGCCATTGCCAAAACGTGGGGAAAAACACACACATCTCACATTAGTGTGCATAAAATGTGATGCATTAATATTTATTCCTCCAAAACTTATACACATGTCAAATATAGGATGTAGAACCTGCATTAGCAGTTTCGGACCCCTTGTCAGCTTTACAATCTTGAGTTTGTAAATTTTGTGCCAAAAATGTTCGTTTTTTAGTGATTCCTGGAGTGTCATTTTGAGCACACCAATGCAAACTTCCAAGAATGTCCAAAATTTAGTATTTTTGGGTGTGTTTTTTTTACGTGTGCTTTGATCCTATGTTATTTGTCATTGAGAAAGGTTAACTTGCTCAAGAAATCAGTTTATTTGTTTGCAAATAGACGAACAATTCGGATTACTTGTGCGTCTGTCGTGTCGTCAAGGACTAGGTGTTTCAGAAAACACCATTTTTTTTCAGTAGAATCACCGTAGCTGGTTAAATCTCTTTGCCTATCGTCGTTTATTCAATACTTCAAAAGCCGCGATGCGCGAAAGGAACATCGGGTTCCTAGATCTACGATTTCGGTCGGCTGTTTAACATTCGCCGTTATTGTCGTCAATTTGCGACGTGCCGGAAGTCCGAATTTCGCCCACTTTTGTTTTGAACGGGTCATCAAAAGTGCCCGGATATAATTGTTTTCTTGAGTGACTTCCCCTTACCCGCGTCCCCAGAACAACGGAAGCAACGGGGGAAACAGAAAAACGAAAGTAGTCATTGCCTTCAGCGTCCGGTGACGCACAAGAATTTTGCGTTGAATGTGACGTACTGGGCTGTTTTGCGTGTTTTTAGGCTACTCTGTTGAATATTTTAGTGAAATTGCGGTGTTTACACTGGATTCCTGGAACAAGAGTGTGATGTGTGAACAAACTTCGAGAGATGGATCATTTCTGTGGTTATAAATTTAGCTTTTGTGCTCAGTGATGACGTTTGGGGTGTCGTCATGCAGCCGTACAAGACTGACTAACGTACAAGAAATTACATTGTCCTAAGAGCAAACATTTTTTAAGTAATGTGTGCTCTCTTTACTCAAACAAATAAACAAACATGTCCTTGTTTATCTGTCTAACTCAAAAATACACATTTGTTCTTTGTTGGTATGATATACCTTTTTCCAATACATTGTGTCATTGTGTCATCATTGTTATGTACAAGTAATATTTTTCATAATTGCTAATATCAATAAGTTTTCAACATATATTTCATACATGCAAGATTCATTTAGAAGCAAAATACGCCTTTATTGATCTGTGTATCTCTTAGTGCAAATTTGTTCTTTGTAGGCATGATTTTACCTTTTCCCAGTATGTTTTGTCATCACTGTTATGTACGAGTACTGTTTGTCATAATTAGCCACATAATTGTGATCGTCCACTGTCTTTGATATGATCTGGTATCTGTTTCAAAGCAAAAGAAACCTCTCCTGGTTTTTTTAAATTCTTAAAGTGCGCTTTTATCTCTGGAGGCAAGACTTTTGTCTTTTCCTGTACATTGTGTCATCATTGTTATGTACAAGTCATGTTTGTGATCACTGTTATGTACAAGTCAGCTCCATTGATTTTGTGCTTTTGCCTCATATTACTATTAGTTAAAAAATTGTTTTACACATGTGTTTTTCTGGTACTGAGGCTTTGATAACTGTATTTGTACAGCCTTTCACAATTGTGATGTGTTGTCAATGATAATGTCCAATGTGTATCCTTTCTTGTACATAACAATGATGACATGTTCTGTGCACTGCGTCATTGTTACAAAGCTTGTCATTCATATTACCATTATGAATGGAGTTCATAGTGTACAAAGTCTTTGTTTACTAAACAAATGGAATTTAAAGTCCATAATTTGCCTTGCTGCTTATCTGTTTTTGTCATCACTGTTACATACAAGAAATACAGTAGTTGCCAAACCAATAGACTCATATCTCCAAAACCGTACATCTCCTTGCTCTGATACTCTAGGAATATGAGCACTAAATGTCAATCTGTGACTGACAGAAAAGAGAGTAAAATTGGTAAGAAAATTTTTTTTGCACCACTGAGGCTCAAGAGTCTCACGTTTTGGCAATTGCTCATATGTATTAGGCCTGCACAGGTATTTGCCAGTGGAAGAAATTAGGTCCAGGAGGGGAGATTTAAAAAAAGAAATGAATGTGTTAAGAACTGAGCTGTAATACCAAAGATTTGGCCAGTGTGTCAGTGTGTGGGTGTCTGTAAAATGCTAGCTTTCACGTAATCAATTCTTCCCAGGAACCTGAGAATGTAAGTGCGCGCACGCACACACACACACACACACGCACACACATACACACACAAACACAAACACGGGGGGAAAAAAGTGATCATCACTGTTTGATTGTCTCACCGGCTCTCCCCAGGGTTTGCTCAACTACAAGACTTTCAACCAGCTGCCGAGCAGCTACCAGTACAAGCTGGTCACCCTCCTGCCCCAGTGTGATCAGATCCCCGTCATCAGCCCAGACGACCTCAGGTTGCTTTCATCAACTCATCCTTTCTGTCTGTTTTGATGCTAGCTCTTTTTCTGTTTTGTTGAGATCTTCTAGTTCTAAGAAAGACTGGAAGTTTTAGTATATTTTTGTAGATGTACATGTGTTCTGAGTGCTCATTCTAAAAAAGATGGGTGCTTAGCTTTCTTTCTGCTCATTGTGATGCAAGCTCTTTGATAGCTTCAACTGTGTAGTGGTAAGTAGTGGCGCTGCCACCATTCCCTGTCCGCGTTGTGACAACCGATTGGCCTGACCAGTCACCTGTGCACTCACCCCAAGCCCCAGGGGATGAGTAGGTGGTCTTTGCCATGCACACATACAGGAGAGGGAGGTGGGGAAGTTGGGGGGGGGGGGGGGGTTGAGGGCAACATAGAGAGAGTATGCGAAATAGTAGGAGAGAGGAGAGAGAGAGCACAAGAGAGAGAGAGAGAGCGCCAGAGATAGAGACTCACAGACAGTGAGAGAGATAGAAAATAATTAGAGGTACACAGGAAAAGATAAATGTGTCAGTAGATAGAGAGGAATCATTTTCTTTCTTTGCGGATCCTGACACAGACAACGACAACAAAGAGAGGTCACTTTATTCTGACTACACTTACCACTCAGTGGTAGGAGTTGCCTCAGTAAATTTGAACAAGGGACTCAAACTCTCTGCCTGCGGCCAATTGAGGCCCACAGAACCACATTTTGTGGCCCATACTTGACATCGAAGTTTTGTGTTTGTGTGGCCCAAGCCTGGTCAGTTTTTGAGAGAATTGTCCTCCCACCTTCCCTGAGTTTTCCTGCATGTTCAAGCGGACCATAGGTCTGTTTGGAAGAGTTCTTCTCCACTATTAACTTTAACAAGTCAAAGTACAGATCCAATGTTATTGATGAGTATCTTTAACCCGTACTGAATAATGAATCTTTGCAATGTAGCGATTTACTTTTGCCCGTCTGCAGTCCAATACAGTAAATGGTCCATTCATTTTTGGACTTTAGAAACAAGGGTTCATTTATTCTTGAATAAAAATTTTGCTGGCAGAATTCAGCACTGCCATTAAGGGATGAACAAGAAGAAGAGACTCAATGTAGTGGATATTTTGTTGTTTCTGTTTCTTTATCTTTGTTACATTACTGTGAGAAATAATTGTGAATGTGTTTATTTTTGTTTCAGGTTAAGTTCAACAGCTTTAAACAATGAATTCTTCGCTAAAGCTTGTGGAGAGTGGAAAGACCGGCTGGCGGAAGGTAGGTGTCTTTTTATCTGTTTGCCTGTGCATTGATCTCTCTGGGATGAAATGATTCACTCTGATCAGCCAGTGTTGATTCCTTGGAATTTTCTGAACTGCCAGAATTAAGTCTGTGCTGTCATTTAGAATTCTCGTAAGTGTTTGTATCATTGACAATTTTGCATTTAAGTCTGTCTTATTCACCATGCCAAATGTTAAACCATCAGCAACATCAGGGAACCGGATAGTGAGATTAAATGCAGAAAAAGTGGGTGTATTGTAAGGGATTTGATAAACTATGTTGACTTGGATCGTGACATGAGCTCTGGATAAAACAATTGTCAGTGATGCCACGGGGTGTGTCGTTCTGGCTGATGGGAGTTAATTTAGTCTGTCACAGGGAGGTTAATCTGAGATCATAATAGTCATAATAATAATAATATTGCTGATAATTTCTATAGCACCCACTTCCGTACAATGCAGCTTTAGGCGCTTTACAATACCTTCGTCTCAACGCAAAACACAAATCAATGAACGTACTTATATGTATACTCTTAGATTAACGCTAACACATAAGCAGACATTCCTACTATCACAGCACAATGGATGACACTTCACTTTGTGAACATAAAGAGTATAGCCTTTCCTGCTCCAATGGCCACCTGAATCACCTGTACAAATGGCCACTTCCCACTTCCTCCCTTGCGTATTTTTTACATCATAATAACATTGTGCAAGACGTCCACCTGTCTAAGGCGGCCACTTTTCTCCTCGACACTGGGTGGCTGTCTTGGACAATTTTCAACTATACTGCGAATAAGGACAAATTTTCAGGATGGCATTTGATATGGTAACCATAGTCAACAGCTCTTGAGTCATGGGTAGATCTTGTCGTAGCCCTGCTCAAGTGTGATGTTTGGGTGGTCAGAGGGTGCTCTGTTTCACTTGTTTCTATGACAAAATGTTTTATCTTACAGCCATTTTCTTGTAAATTCTGGGACAGCCCTCACATGAAGGTTAAAATGTCCTCATTTCTTGTTAACTAGAGGTCAGGTATTTCACCACTCCCTTACCGGCACCTATGGTGTAGCAGTTACAAAAGGCGCTTTGCTGTTGCGCACAGGAGTTTGGTTCCCAAGTGTGGAGAATTTTTATTGAGTATCTCAGTCTTTCTGCTAGGATATTGTATGTCTCTCGGCCCGGTTGGACGTGACAAGTAGTGTCGAAGCCCATCTCCTAAAATGATCTGAATTGTGTCGTAGGAGGCATGAAATTACCTACATTAACATTTTTTTCCCACCTTTCTTTTGTTCATCTAGGTGAGTTCACCTCCGACAATCAACAACGGTTGAAGCTTGAGGAAGAGAAAGAACAGAGTAAAATGGATGCATGGAAGGTATGAAGCCATTGGTTGTTATATAGACTCAGGGATGCTGTTTTTTCGCCTTTTTAGGGGGAGTTGGGTTTTTTTTATTTTTCCCCCATCATTTTTCATTGAATCCAATAAGAAGAACAATTATTGTTCACAGCATTCATTTTCTGTATAATCCCACCATAGTTGTTGTATCTATTAACACTTATATGACGTAATTGTATTGCAAGGGCCTTAAAGCTCTCACTAAATCTAAAAACTAAACTTTTTTATTCTCTGTCATGCACTCTTGCTTTACTCCAGTCATACACACAAATACAAACATCCTCACTCCTTCACACGCCCACACAAACACACGCACTCGCAAACATGCACACACACGCACATGCCTACACTCACACGTGTACATTTGGTTTTCTGATTTTCTGATGGCTATAACGTCTTGTGTTTCAGGCAAAGCACTTTGAGCCGGTGTGGGGACACAGGTAAGTCTGGAACTGTCAATTGTTTTGCTGTCTGTTCTAGGGGGGGGGGGGGGGGGGGGTTCGAAGGGGTGCCACTAGTAGGTCTTGCTCTATTTTTATGTATCTCTGCAGCAAATTACTGTCTTGTGTATACTGTATGCCAGCTTTGATCTTTCGATGTAAATTTTTCTTTTGTGAGTAGTTTATTTAGATCTTTAGTCAGAATGCATTGTGGTGTTTATATGTGTTGCTACTGTATCTGTAAAGCGCTCAGAGCCTATGTTTTTTAATTGGGGTTTAGTGGTATATCAGTATCACATATTGTTATTATTTTTATTTTTATTATTATTATATGTTCCTTTTTAAGCAAATTACTGTTGTATGTATACTTTGTTCCTGCTCGGGTCTATAGCGTTAATTTTTCCTGTGATAATGGTATATTTTGATGTGTTTTTCTTCAGCAAATTGCTGTCGGACGTACCCAAGGCCACAGGTCCATCCCCCACCCAACTGGGATCTCACCTGGAGCAGTTTGCAGCCGTCCCGAAGGCGTCGAAGCCGACGACGATCCTCAAGTCCAACATGCGGGTGTCCTCGATGATCCAGAAACGCCACCTGTCCCGGGCCATCAGGGCCAGCGTGGAGAGCGCTCTTCCAGCCGCCAAAAAGTCCATGTCCAACTCTGCGAGGAGCGAGGCGACCCCGTCTGCCCCCGCGGCCAATCACCACGTGGTCTCGGACCGCTCCTCCGCCTCCCCCCTCCCCGCCTCCGCCTCGTCGGCGTCGGAATCCTCGCCCAACTCCACTTCCTCCACCGCCTCCAGCAACAACTCCACCCTGGACTCGGCCATCGCTGCCAGCCGCGAGGCTCTCGCCAGACAGGTGGAGAAACTCAGGTGCGTTTACGCAGCAGTTTCTTGTAAGAATAATGATAATGACAATAATGATGATAACAATCATAATCGTAATAATGACATGCACAGTCTGTTAGTTAGCTCATAGATCGTCCTATATGTACACATCTCTTCACGGGTCTTTTAAGGGACTTGATCTTGATTGAGTTGACTGGGGTGTAAGAACTTCTACGTTTAGAAAAGTTTTTTTTTTTTTTTCAAAGAACTGAGAAATGGGTACTTTTTGTTGTGGTCGGTCAGGTTTTGTTGGTCCTTATTTTTTGCTGGTGCAAGATGTTCCTTTTTCAGGGTGGCCTGGAAAGTCGGAAATTGGTAGGAAATGTTTGTTTAGGTCAGATAAGTCGGATTTTTGTCACAAAAATTTTGTTCCGACGGAAATGGTTGGATAAACGTCGGCAGTAAAAGGAAATTTGAGGAAATCTGTAAGTTGCCTCGGGGAAGACCCGGGAAAATACATAAAAGTTTTCGAATATTTGAAAACCAAATCCGATAACGCCCGTAAGTTCATTTTATCGGTCGCGATCATTCAGCTTTTCCTGGTCTGAGAGTACGTTTCATGCGAACAGGCGGCTATGGCGGCAAGCGGAAGTGTACGAGTCATGCCGAGGCTCGATCGGGAAAATCTAGATCTACTTTCGCTTTCACTACCACCCTGAAATTTGCCGGTAAAAGTCTGATAACACAACATTGTTGTAACATGCAGTGTGTGCATTACAAAGGCTGTGTCGCTGTGAAAATAAATCAATATTTGTCACTTGTGTAAAAAGAAAAGAAAGTTATACCAGCGTCTTGTCGGGCTCGCCGTCGTGACCGGTCACTGAACCTGAGCGTTTATATGTCACACACATGATGATAGGGCGTCGAGTGAGTACCGCGAATGTTGGGGTCACTAAAGTTCATTCTAAGTCTGAGCGTTGCGAAGTATAGGACCCCGGGATGGCGGGATTATTAATTTTTTAAAAAAAGATACTAAAGGCAACACCAGGGGAAAAAACTGATAAAAAAACCATTATAAATTGGTAGCAAATTTTAGCATTAGCATTTAGAATTTTGATTGCAACGAGAGCTTTCTGCATAGTGCGTGTTGTGCAGGATTTGTGTGGACTCGGGATCCGTCATACCTTGTAAGCTGTGTTATTGAACTAAAGGGTTGGTGTGTCATTGGATGGGTGATAGTCGTTTGACCATGGAAAAAAACTCAGCAAGACAGTCTTTGGAGAGTAGAAGATTGACGGCACTTGACATACTGAAACCCAGGCTAGAAACACTTATTTTTCTTATGATTTTTGTGACTATATATGTGTAGACTATAATTAGAGAGAGAGATCTAGACTAGATCCAGCATCATGGAAAAGTGCTACTTCCTCAGCACTGAGTGGTTGTCCAACCCTTAGTATTCAGAATGATTGATGTAGTATCCAAATGATAAAAGCAAGTTTAGATGAAAATTTTGTTCCCAAGTATTTGTCATCGGTCATTCAGGTGTAAAAGCTTTGAACACTCACATGGTACCTCAAAAACACATGAAAGCCCAAACCAGCCAGTGTGGTGGCAAATTTATTCTTAAGGTTACCAAGAACAGAACAAGTGATGTGAGAGATACTGAAAGGAGCACCAACAGTAATATAATATTGATCAACTAGAGCAGTTGTTGACACGAGTCTTCTCATTCATTAAATGTTTTCAGGCTGAAAAATAGCTGAGATTTCAGTGTAGTTGCACAAAACGTGGCTACCTTGGAGCATTAGTCGATCTAATTGGGATTGCCCCAGTGATGTAGTCGGCTATCCTTAGATGTGTACGAAATAGCTTGTTCTACGTGATTCTCTTTGACGAGAGCCGTGACACTGACAATGGCAAGAAACAGCTTGACTTATAGTGGTAGGATTTTTTTTTGGTGTGGTAGGATTTTTAGGAGGAAAATTTCCCTGGCCACCCTGTTTTTACTCAATTCTTCTGCAGGTGTCAGGTCTGGATCAGACATTGATGATCATGGAACCCCACACCTTTCTGTTTTCTTGTCTTTCTGATCGGCTTGGTTTTCCTCCATAACTTTACATCCTTTTTACATTTTCCAGCGTCTCTTACCTTGCGATGTTGAGAGGAGGGGCAAATGCGTTTCTTATGATTGTTGCATGGTTATATTATATTTTTTTCTTTCTAGGATTTATCTGACCCCCTCCACCAACTTTTTCCGGGCCTGCCCCTTCCTCTGTTTTTGTCCTGCCAGTGTCTCAATAACAAAAGCAACCCCCCCCCCCCTCTCACTCAAAACCAAAAATCCCATAGCTCTTGTTCTGTCTGACCAAACAAGCTTTCCTGTTTTCTTTCAGATCGGAAGACAGGACGGAGATCCTGGGAGTGACGCCTGCCAAGAAACGTCGTGTGGTTGGGTCTGCTGGGGGGCCATCGGCCGTCAGACTGCCGCAGCAGACGCAGGCCCAGGCCAGGACGCTGGCCCAGATCAGGGCGCAGACTCAGGCGGCGAAGAACAACAACAAGAACATGAACGTCCTGCCCCCGTCGAGCCACAGCAAGCCCGCGTCTGCTTCCTCCAGCGGCTCCTCACAGGGCATCACCAGAACGGTCACCATGACTTCCACTGGCATCATCATTAAAACACAGGGCCAGACGCGGACCCTGGCTCAGATAAAAGCTCAGACGCAGGCCGCTAGAGCCAACTCGGTCGCCGCCTCCACCCCAGGTGGTCCGCCGGCCCAGAGCAATCAGGCAATGCGTAGCTTGTTGGCCAGCGGCCCTCTATGCAAAGTGGCCCCCACGCAGACGAGAACTTTGGCGCAAATCAAAGCTCAGACGCAGGCGCGGGCCCCCATCCAGCCTCAGGTAATCAAACCGCCTTCCTCGTCGAACCTGCTGTCTTCGGAGCTGAGTGCAAGCAGCACTAGTGGGCTGACCCCACAGCAGCAGCACGTGCCAAACATTTTATCCTCTACCAACAGCAAAATCCGAGCTTCGGCTGACCTTCAGAGTAGCGCATCCGATGTGAACCTCAAGCGATCCATACAGATTTGTCAGGCCGAGTTCAAGAAAAGTTTGACGAAATCTGCCACGGTCATTGGCACGGGAGGAACTACTTCCCCGGGGCCCAACCAAACTCCTCCCCCTCCACCCTCTCCTCTCCCTCCCGCGGCGTCTCAGACAGTGACCCCTCCCCCTCCCTCCCAGAGCCCGAGTGCCTCCAAACTCTTGTTCCCTCAGTCCTCCCTGATCAGCGCTCAGCCCGCGGGCCAGGTATCCACCCTCAACGTGAGCAACGGGCGGGTGTCAGGAGTTCCCTCCCCTCAACACCACTTCATCCAGCCGCAGTCGCCGGCTAAGTCTTCTTCTCGCTCCGCCACGCCCACAACGCTGGTCATTAACCGAGGGCGCGTTTCCCCCGCTACCACCGCAAAGTTCGTGTCCCTCCCGTGCAGCTCGGTCAATTCAGGGACACACGCTGTCGACACGGGCGGCAGTAAAATCTTCCTGGTCTCCCCGGCGAACAAAGAGTCGGGAGGTGCTGTTTTGCTGCTCAACAGCAACAGTAACCAGACTATCGGCGCGTCTGTCAAACCACAGCACAGCCTTGGCGGTGGTGGTAGTGGCGGCAGTGTGGGGGTCGTCAAGTCCCTGGGGGCTGCAAGTCCCTCTGGGTTACCGTCAAGCAATTCCCTCAGCTCCGCCATCAGCCCGTCGACGTCCGTGGCGGTGGCTTCGTCCCAAGTCCCGCGACGACTCCTCACGCAAGACGCTCTGCGAGCCTTCCTCAACGCACCCCCGCGGGCAGCCAGTGCCCCGCCCAACAACGCCACCAACACCAAAGTGGAGACGCCGACCACGGCAGCGATCGTCCGGTCAGCCAGTGTCGGAAATAGCGGTGGTGGGCTACCCCCCCAGTCCTCGGCGCCCTCCACCCCCTCCCCCACAGCCCCCACCCCTCCCCCTCATCAGACGTTCACCGTGTCCCTGGGCGACCTGCCTCAAGGCATCACCATTCAGAACTTCAACAACCCCGGAGTCATCCCCCCCTCCTCTGCCTCCTCCTCCTCATCTGCACACACGGCCAACAATATCCTCATCCCTAACCCTAACCAGATCCGGGTCATCTCGCGATCTTCCTCATCAGGGAGCCCGTCGCCCATCCCCGCCTCCTCCTCTCCCTCCCCCGGAGTCTCGGGGACCTTCAGCGTCCACAAGGTGGACCTCTCCTCCCTGTCCACGGCCGGCACGCCCACCATCCCCACCTCCATCCCGCCCCTCCGCTTCTCCCCGTCCCCCATCGTGCCCGTGAGCAACAATGCTAGTCAAAGCATCTCAGGGAAAAAGTTTGGCACAGCTCGCATCATCCACGTGTCGGGCCCGGGCGGGAAGCTCCTGCAGACGTCGGCCCAGCTGGGCAGTCCCCTCAAGGTGGGCAATGTGGTGAACATTCAACCCATGGTGTCGTCGGCCGTCACCCAGCAGGCCACGGCCATCAAGTCGGCCACCGTGCTGGGCGTGCAGCCCTCTCAGGCGCCTTGCGAGCACCAGGCCGGCCTCCCCAGCGACCAGGGCTCCGACTCTGTGGGCTCCGGCTGCGCGTGTAATCACAAAGCAATGGTGGTGTGCAAGAAGTGCGGGGCATTCTGCCACAACGACTGCATCGGCCCGTCTAGGTTGTGCGTCACCTGCCTCATCACCACCTGACAGCACAGGGAATTAACAAGCTCTCCGACTAATTCACCACAGGCGGCGCTGTTCCCATGAGCTCCGGTCGTCTCCGTTGGACAGGAAACTGAATGGAGTAGATCTCGGTTTATTTCACTACGGCCTGCGTGGTTCCTCATAGCTCCCCTCTTGACCACCTGACAGGAGCTGGAATTTATGAGCTGTTGAACAACTTCATTACTGACTACGCTGTTCCAAATAGTTCCGTTCTTCACAAACAGAGGAGAAAGAGGCTAAGATAGCACTTTGACATGGGTGGCTGCTGCCTCTATAAATAGATTAATAATGGTCATTAGTTTCGCTCAAATTGATTTGGATAAGACCAGAGGGCGATAGATACTTATTTGATTGATTGACAGCTGAGTTCCAGGAACATGGCACTCTGAATGCCAGGCGTGCTCTCCCCATCCCCAACCCCCCCACCCCCCCACCCCCCCCCCCAACTCTGCTACTTTAACACTTAATTTCAGACCATGGCTTGCTTACCTGTTTTAGTATACCCTAGATTAATCCCTTGTCTCCGAGAGTTGGCATGTTCTGTCGAATTTTACAGGAAATAACAGATTGTCCTTCTCAAGGTACAAGGCCAAGTTTTATGAATTGAGCCAGTATTTTACATACATATATATGAAGTTATAATGTTAGATTGGCATCAGAGTTCATGCTCAATGAACACAGCTTGAAAGCCATATTTACATACCAGTGGATTTGCAATGGAATAAATCGAGTTTTAAAAAATGTATTTGCTAAAGACTGTGGCTGGAATGAAATTTGAAAGGCAATTATCAATAAGTTATCTTGAAATTGAAGTGAAGCTGGAAAGACTCATTCATTTGCCAAATTTGTTGTCTTGAAATTTGATTGTTAGGTTAACCACATTTTTGGAGAACAGCCTGTGCACATGTGAGTGAACTTGAAGTAGGAAATAAACTTAGAAAATGAGATCAGTGAGCCAGACAAGAAGAATCCAATCAAAGAAGTTGCTAGGCAGAATTTGCAAATGAGTTGACTAGAAGGAGGATAGAATAGATTGACTGCTCAGTGTAAAACTGCTCCATATATATGCCACTGTGGAAGGTGTCGTATGATGAGCTCTTACATTGAGCAGCCGGGGCGAAGCTAAGTGGAAAGAACTTCCTTGTTCACATTGCTTTGTTACAAGTTTTGGGCACTACCTATTGTGTAAATTGGTATCTGTATCTGTGGTGTAGAGGTTAGATGCTATGCCGTCAGGCGCAGAACATCTGAATTCAGTTGTGGAATAGGGAAAATTTTGATGGAGTCTCTCGGTCTTTCTGTTTGGACATTGTATCCCTCTCAGCCGGGATTGGTCACGACAGGCAGGGTCAAAGCCCACCTCCTAAATGATCCGTATTGTGTCAATGGGGGCATTAAAACACCTGCATTTGTTTGTTTTGTTTTTTTAAGAAATATTATCTGCAAGTTTTCCATGTGTATGTCAGAAATCAATTGGGGTTCCTCCGAGGTGGCTATTGGCATTATGTTTTTTCACATTTGATATTAAAAACTCATTACATTCTGAGAACAGAGTTGGTCTTCTCAAGCATAAGGCTCAGTTTGCATAGTTTGCAGCTTCCAGAATTGTATTGTTGACTGTGTCTTTGATTTGAGAACATGAATCGAGGGGTAGGGGGGGCATGCTCATCTAATTCTTCCTTGGGGAACTGGTCTGGGTTTAGAAATGTTGTTGCTGATTTGTTTTGTCTTTCGTTCTGCTCAAACTCCTGTAACATTTTCATTTGGAATTATGTGGTTTTTTTATGTTTCTGATTGTGACATCCTTGCTGTTCAGTGGATAGTGTTGGAGGAATGATGTACCTTTGGTCTGGGCCCATTGTGAGTGGAACATTAGCCAAGAACAATCTCTCTCTCTCTCTCTCTCTCTCTCTCTCTCTCTCTCTCTCTCTCTCTCTCTCTCTCC